TTATGAATATTGATGCAAGAATCCTCAACAAAATATTAGCAAACCAAATTCAACAGCATATGAAAAGAATTTTATACCATGACGAAGTGGGATTTTAATCACAGTCTTTGTATTCCAGGAATAAATCCCATGTTTATGGAGAGGAAGACTTAATGTTGTTCAGATGTCAATACTACCTAAAGCAATCTAGAGATTCAATACAATCCCTGTCAAAATCCCAATGGCATTTTTTGCAGAAATAGAAAAGCCTATTCCAAAATTCATATGAACTCTCAAGGGCCCCCATATTATTACACAATCTTGAAAAACAAGGACACAGTTGGAGGACTCACACTTCTTCATTTAAAAACTTACTCCAAAGCTACCACAATGAAGGAGTACGCTATTGGCATTAGAACAGGTATAGAGACCAATGGAATAGAATAGAGAGCCTGAAAATAAACACTGACATATACAGCCACGTGGTTTACAACAAGGGTGCCAAGACCATTCAATGGGGAAAAGGCAGTCTTTTCAACATATAATGCTGGGAAAACTGGATATCCACACACGAAAGAATGAAGTTGGACCGATACCTTACACAATACGCAAAAATGAGCTCAAAATAGATCAAAGACCTAAATGTAAACTGAAAGTATAAAATTCTGAGAAAAAACAATAAGTGAAACTCTTCATGACATTGGATTTCACAGTGCTTTTTTGGATATGACAGTAAAAGCATTAGACAACAAAAGAAAAAATTGGACTTTATCAAAATTAAAACTTTTGTGCATCAGAGGACACTATCAAAAAGTGAAAAGAAAACTCACAGAGTGGGAGAAAATATTTGCAAAACATATATCTCATAAGGGATTAATATCCAGAATACATAAAGAGCTCCTACGTTTAAACACAAAATAACAAACAACCTAATTAAAAAATTGACAAAGAACTTGAATAAACGTTTCTCCGAAGAAGATATACAAGTGGTCAGTGAGCACATGAGAAGATGCTCAACACCACTACTCACTAGAAAAAGCAAATTAAAACCACTATGTGATATTCCTATACATCCCTTAGGATGGCTATTGTCACAAACAGAATAAACAGAAACATCTTGGCAAAGATGTGGAGAAATTGAAACCTGTGTGCATTGCTGGCAGGAATATAAAATGGTGCAGCCACTGTGGAAAACAGCGGTTGTTTCTTAAAAAGTTAAACATTGAATTTACCGCGTGATCCAACAATTCTACTCTTAGGTATATACCCCAAAATATCAATAGCTGGGATCCAAACGGATAATTATACATCAATATAAATAGCCGTATTATTCACAATAGCCAAAAGGTAGCAGAAACAACCCAAACTTCCATCAAGAGATGAATGGATAAAGAAACTGTGGTGTATGTGTATTCTCAATGGAATGTTACTCAACACAAAAAGTAATGACATTCTGCTGTGACCTATAACACAGATGAACCTTGAAAATATCATCCTACATGAAGTTAACCAGATACAGAAGGACAAATACATGATTCCACTTGTAGGAAGACCCTAGAAAAGGGAAATGCGTAGATACAGAAAGTAGAACACAGGTTCCCAGGGGCTGGAGGGAAGGGAAAATGGGGACTTACGTTTGATGGGAACAGAGTTTCTGCTTAGGATGTTGAAAATGTTCTGGAAATGTATGGTGGTGATGGTTTTACAACATTATGAATGTACGTAACGCCATTGAATTGTATCTTTAAAATGGTTAGAATGGTAAGTTTTACATTATGCGTATTTTACCACAATCAAAAATATGTACTAACAAAGGTGATAGCCCCATTTAGAATTTTGGAACTGGACTAAAGGGCTCAAGGAAAAAGATAGAATGTGCAGTTCCACAGGCTGATAGATTTAAGAAACCTGCAGTGGAATGAGGAGGTAGAACCATGGAAGCGAGCAAGGAAACAGCAGACTTCAAACGTGTTTTGAAAGGAGTTGTGGGTGGTTGACTGTGTTCGGAGAGTGAGTGATGAGTTGGAGGGTCATGAGTCACCTTTGGGCCAATCACTGAAGTGCAGGTGCAAGACTCTCCAGGTCCACGTCACCGCCTCAGTGACTAGCTGGTTTCTGGACACAGAGAGAAACACAAAAACATTCCTTCTCATTTGAGGTGTCCTAAAACATAGGCATGGAGTTTGGCGGCAGGAGTATAAATCAGGGGAGCTGGCTGTTGTGGCGCCACAAATGAATCCTGTGTTCTTTTCTATTTCTTAGCGACTCCTCAGGAGAAAATGTGTTCAGCTTTGCAGGGTGTGAACTGGTGAAACCCACCCACTTAGCACTGTTTGTGACTAAACCCCCCTCCTCAGGAGGGCACGCGCTACGGCAGGGCAGGTCCTTTGGTGTGCCCAGAACATCAGGTGGTTTGGGTTTTTAAGTCTAGAGAAGAAGATTGGAAGCTAAGACAAAAATGGGGAGAAAGATGAGTGAATCTTGGAGGAGAAATGGAGGAAATAGAGGATGGAGGAGAGAAGGAGGTTGAGACCCATCTGCCAGCTGTGTGTCTATAATTCTCATATTTCCATCTCTGGTCCAGGCCTTTCCCCTGAACTCTGGACTTGTATGTCAGCCTCACACAGGACATGCTCCTTGGATGGAAAGAAACATCTACAGTTAACGTGTCCCAAACTGAACTCCTGAATTTCCCCACAGCCCTCTGTGTCCCAGCTGATGCACCTTTATTCTTCCAGATGCTCAGGGCCCAACGCCTTGGACTCTTTCTCTTCCACCCCCAATCCTATGCATCAGGAAAGCCTGTTGGCTCCACTCCAGCGAGCATGCAGAATCTGACCTCTTTCCCCATCTCTACTAGCTACTGTCCTGGTGCAAACGAGTTGTTCTTGTTTGCATGAAGGCAGTGACCTCTTAAATGCTCTAGTTGTTTCTATTTATGTCCCGTTTAGTCTATTCTCAACCAAATGCTAGAATAATTGAAAACTTATGTCAGATCATGTCACTTCTCTCTTCAAAACCTTGCAATGTCAGACATGTCACTCAGAGAAACAGCCTAACTCCTGAACACAACAGGAAGATCTTACTCTCAGGGCCTTTGCACATGCTGTTCCCTGTCAGGAAGGCTCTTCCCCCAGATCACCACGTAGCTCACTTCTGCACCTTCTTTTTCTCTTTGCTCAGATTTCCCTTCTCAGTGATGCCCACCCAGACCAACCTGTTTAAAATACATCCTACCCTACAGAGTCTTCCAATTCTGTTATCCAGCTATGCTTTAATTTTTTCCTTAACACATCACTTTCTGATGCATTATGTTATTTATTTATTTGCTATGTCTATTGTTACTGTCATCTCTCCACTAGGATATGAGCTCCAGGAGAGCAACTACTCTGCCTCTGTTATTTGCCAGTGCACCCCAAGTTCCTATGTCAGCCGCTGGCACATGGTAGGTATGCAATATAGGTTCATATGATGTGTGAATTGCCCCATGTGACTCCTCCCTGAGACCCTGAAGAGGATTTTAAGTGGGTGATGTCTATGGAAATTATGTCAGGTTCTGAGTCTCCATGTAGATGACTTGGTGAAAGACAGAAGGAAATTGCGCACATGCAGGAAGCAGAAGAGCCAGGAGAAGAAAACCACAACTCACTTCCCCCACACCCCACCCTTCCCCACAGCCAGTGGCAGCAGCTGCAGAAAGCTCATGGGATGGAGGTGGGGTAATGGTTAAATCTGTGAGCTCTAGAATCAGCTGCCTCAGTTCAAATCATGGCTCCACCATTGACCCTGAACCTCTCTGTGCTCCCGTTTTCTCATCTGCAAGATAGAGGTGACAAGAGAATCTACCTTGGGTATAATGATCACATGAGGTAACAGCCATAGGTGTTTCCAACAGCGTCTGGACAAGGGGAGAGTTCAGGAAATTGAAGTGATTACTCATTAGATTCCTGAGGGATGGAGTCTGCAGCTGACATTAGATGATATAGACATGGATATGGATATGGATATAATTATAGACACAGATCAGATAGCCTGGAGTCTCTGTATGTTTTGTCCTCTTTTAACCCCCTCACCTCTATCCAGCATGGAAGAGGGACTCCAAGATAGTAACACACAAAAGAGAGAAGTTTGCTTCTCTTCAGACTTTTGGGAGAATAAAGGGAAATTTAGAGAAGTAGGAGAGATGTTGGCTGAGAGACAAAGAAGATTAAACATCTGTTCAATGTGCATTTCATGCAGACTGAAAATGATTTAAGAAAATAATAAGGAAAGACTTTTCAAAAATCCCATATGTGTATGCGTACACTTCCTCAACCCACTCATACACACACACACACATAAACACATGCATTCACAAATAAACATAAAAGTGTGGCCTTGCACTAATATACAAGGTTGTTTTGTGGATTAACTGAAATTATAATACATATTAAGAAATCAGTAATAAAATTGGCACACTGGAACCACCCAAAACATCAGTAAAACAGGTCTGCAAGCACATGGCAGAACTGGACCTCCCAGCTCCGTGATGCTGACGACTATTCTTCTCTCTGCTTCGCTGTACTTTCTGGTTGTTCTGCAATTAGCCTCCTCTGAGAAGCCGAGCAGCATAACGGGGTTAAAGGAATGAACTCTGGAGCTGGTCGGCTTGGACTTGAATCTGGGCTACTCCACTGCCTTATGCAAGTGATACTGGGCAAGTTACTCTCTCTGCCTCAGTTTCCCCACCTGCAAATCAGTGATAGGGTCACAGCTATCACACAAGGTTGTGCATTAGACAAGTTAACTTGCACAAAGTTCTCCTTGTTGCTGCTTGAAGCATCACCTGTTTCGATGCCTCTGGTAACCAGCTGCAGGTGATGGATCCACAGAGAAAAGGCTCAGATCCCTGATTTCCTGCTCTCAGACTATGCCCAGTCCTGGGCCTCCCGTGGTAGCTCTGGGTGGTGTATCCATGTTTACTTGGAGGCCCTAAAAGCCCAGGGGCAGAGGGAGGGGATTCTACCCCAAGGAATGCTCACCTGTGAGTCCCAGCAGCAGAGTCAGCAGCAGGCAAAGAGGAGGGCGGTGGGTCCGGGAGGCAGGGCCGGGCATCCTGGAGGCCTGAGGAGCTGCTCTGTCCAAGTGTGTGCTGGGGAGAACCCTGACTTCCACACTCTGTGGAGGTGAGGGAAGGCCCACTTCCCGTGACATAAGAGGAAGCACCTATGACGGGGTGACATGGCTGTGACAGCAACCAGCTTCTAGACCTCAGACAGTTCCCACTTCTAGAATGTGAAATAGGAATCAGCAGAGAAGGCAACTACAAGTGAGGACTCACTCGGCTCACACTCTCAGGGAGACTTGGACAGGCCTAGCAGATACAGGGCTTCTTCTCTATCTGAGGCCTCTGCTCTCTCCACTGGACCCCTCACCCCATCTTAGCTCTTCATGGTGATTCCCTATTTGGGAACCCCACGTCAAGAATGATCTGTCGTTGTGGGCAGTGTCCCAAACTCCCATGCCCAGGATCCTAGGATGTGGCTGGTTGTCGTCTCACTCTGCACCAGCCTCAACCGAGAGCCACTCAGCTGGAGGAAGGAAGAGGGTTTGCCAGGGCCTGCTCTACTTTGGGATGAAACCAGGTCTGTTCCTGAAATGACTCCCTGTTCCAACCCTTTATTGATGAAACTGGTGAAACTTAGCCCAAATGCACTGTGCGATGTGGACCTCAGAACTTGCATGTGCCTGCATCCAACAAAGGGAGTCCCTTCCTGAATTCTCTCAGGAGAGCAAGTGGCTTATATGACCCAGCAATTAATCTTTCAGGCATTTATCTCAAAGAAATGAAAACTCATGTCCAAGCACCTAACCATGCATGAAGGTTTAAAGTAACTTTCTTTACAGTAGGAAAACTGGAAAAAACCAAAGTGTTCAATAGTAAGTGAGTAGTTAAACGAACTGTGTTGCATCCATTACAAAGAAATACAACTCAAGAATAAAAAGGAATAAATTACTTATATGTGTAACAACATGTAAGTTTCTTGAAGGCATTATGTTGAGTTAACAAAGTTTATCTCAAAATGTCACATGCTGTATGATTCCACTTGTAGAACATCTTGAAATTATAGAGATAGAGAACAGGTGGCATTTGCCAGAGATGTGGTACAGTGGGATGGGTGTCATTCTAAGGAGCCAGCACAAGGAGGACCTTTGTGGTTATGGAATTGTTTTGATCCTGAGATGGTGGTGGTTACACAAACACACACATGAGAGGACCAACACTTGCAAAAGCTGGGGATGTTACAAGATTCAGCATGAATAATCTCACAGTCATAATCATATAGACACTGACTAGTAAGTTATCCCAAATGATACTATAGTTATATTAGGGTGATGGGGCATAGAAGTGTGCATGTGGCATGAAGTCAGGGGTAACAGAACATTATATGATCACCTTTCATAATGGGAAGTCAATAAATAACGCCTAAGAGTCAGAAATCAAGAAGTAGCAATATGAGCATGCTGCATGCAATATGGCAGTAAAATCTAAAATACTCAGTTGAAAGAGTTGAAAATGGTTGCCTCTGGGAGGTGCAAATAAGAGGTTAGGGAGATTCCAGTTTACATCTGTATAACTTGTAGAATATTTGACTCTTAAACTGTGCGCATGTGTAACTTTGATAAAGGGAGAAACTAATTTTAGATAATTACACTAATGTTATCAGAGTTATACATAAAAAGAATGTCCATACCATTAGCATTAGTAAGAGAGTTTTATAAGCTTGTTGGATATAAGACTGATGTTCAAACCTCAATTACAATCCTACACAATAGTCAAAAACTACTGAAAACAGTAATCATAATTTTTGAAGATTCCATAAATAGAAAACATTAAAGATAGCTCTAACTAGGCATGCATAAGACAATTATGAGGGGGAAAAAACTGCAAACTCATGAGTTAAACATGATAAAAGAAAACCTAAATAAATAGAGATAGATCATGTCCATGAATGGGAAACCTCAACACTGGAAAGATGTCAGTTTGCCTGAATTATATATAAATTCAATGCAATCAAGTAATAATTCTAAAGGTTTTTGTGAAACTTGACAAAGTGATTCAAAAACGCATTTGGGCCAAGAAGAGCCACAACAATTTTGAACAAGAAAAGATGGGAAGATTTTCCCAAAAGAGGTGTCAAAACTTGTCACAAATCTATGATAATTAAGAGAGTGTAGTTTTGACAGAGAGATAGACAAGAAGCTCAATGGAACAAAGACCACATAAAAAGAACCACCAATTTATGGAAACTTGATACATGGCAAAGGTGGCAGGGCAGGTCAGTGAGTCAAAATTTATCATTGTGGAGGAAAGAAATAAGACCTTACCACTTGTAATACACACACAGACACACACACACACAGCTGAAAAATATAACTAGGTCGAAGGTATAAATGGAAAGAACAAAACTCAATCAAAAATTAAAACCTTTTTTACCATAACAAAAGTTCCCAGATGATGCCAACAGTGCTGCTTTGGGGTCCACACTAGAGGAACAAGAGCTACTGTCCCATGTGTGCCCAAGGAAATAAGGATAAGAATGTTCATTGCAAAGTTGTCCCACCAAAACATTGGGTAAAGCTTCAATATCCATCATGAGAAGAGTAGATAAATCATGGCATATTCTTACACTAGAAATCTACAGAGCAGGGGAAAATCAACAACATGGAGCTACATATAATGACCTGAATAAATCCCACAAACTATTCAGCATAAAATTAAAATAAGTTCCAGGATGCTGTATACAGTATATGCAATTACACAAAATTTAAAACATGCAAAGTGATATTAAATATTGCTTGAGGATTTATACATATGTTATAAAAGTATAAAATCACGCTTAAGAAGGATAAACACTAAATTCAGGACAGTATTTTTCAAAGGAACAGAAGAACATAATGGCAAAACGTTAATATTTTACGAAGATAGGATGGCAGGTCCGTGGATATTTTTTATATTATTCTTTAAATACTTTGGAATAGAAAAATGCTTCCTCAACTTCGTGATTTCAAAACACATACATGTTAAAAGGAAATCATACTTCAAAGCTCTGGATAAAAGTAACAACTGTTCTGGAATTTAAAGGTTGTTCCTGATCAGGGGCAATGGAAACGGATTTTCTTGATCTGCTTGATTCTCTGTTGGGTGGAGGCAGGGCCAGTCGGAAGCTCAGCACATCAGGGTCCAGACATCCCCGAGCCTCATGACCAAGGTCCATCCTTGACTCAGCTGCAAACATCAGAGAGAAGCAACACCAGGAGGCGTGTGGAAGGGAGCACATCCGTGGTGGAGGTGGGGATGGCAGAGTGAAGGGCAGGGGTCTTGGGGACCTACAGGTCCCTGCAGCTTCTTCTCCCACTAGAGCCCCTTGGAGAGGGCAGGAGGCAATGTGTCACAGGGCATGCAGGAGCTCTAGGGAGAACAGGCATTCATTCATTCACTCCTGCATGCATTAATTCCACAAATATTTATTGAACACCTACTATGTGGCAAGCACTCTGCTTGGCCTGGGTTCATGGCGCACATCAGAAATGAAGACCCTACTCATTACACTCCAACACCTCTTTCTGAGTCCTGAACTCTCTCATATCCACATTCATCTTGCCACCAGTCAGCGCCTCCAAGTCCCTCAGACAGGTTCTAGTGGTTGATTTTCGTCATACTTCCTTATTCATTCCAAAGATATATCATATGAAACCTGAAATACAGAACAGTTTATGGGGGGAAACTGAAGTTTGGTTCTCAAAGCGTTGACCTTCATCTCACCTCCACACCTTGGACCCCACCTTCAGAGTCCCAAGGAACTTCATTTGAAAACCTTCAAACTTCAGGGAACTGCCCAATGTGTGAGAGTTGGAAGGCTCTGAGAATTCCACGAGACATCTGGAGAAAATGAGTGTTCACAACCTTTCCTTGAGGCTGGAGCACCCTTGTAGGTACCATGTGACTCTGTGGGCTTGCTTGTTACTCCTCTTGTCGGCCCATGATGGTGGCCCTGACCTCCCTCACTAAGGAACAAAGCTTGCCCCAACTCACCTGTCACAGGATCCACCACCTGTGGATGTAGGTGACTATGAAACTCACCGCCAGCAGCACCTTGAGGCCTGGAGGGAAGCCACAAAAATAAGGACAGGCATCTCTGGATCTAAATACCAATGGGCAGAAGGAGACGTCAAATGGGGCTCTGTGAGTTTAAATACCTCACTCCACTCAGGAGACAGAAGTGAACCAGCTTCTCATGGAAGTAGAGGTGAGCTTACCTGGGCTCCTTATGGGCTCGTATGTGATGTAGGACGGCACAGGGAGATTGGCCCGGATGGGAGTCTGTGCCTCATGCTGCACCTTACAGATGAGCACCCGCTCAGACCCCTGCACCGACCCATCCACCAACTGCAAGCTTTCCAGCGTGCAGGTCCATCACCACTCTGCTTGGACATGAGCTGCTCAGCTCCCTGGAACATATGGCCATTCTTCATCCAGGTGAGATGCATACTCTGTGGAGAGAACCTCTGCATGTGGCAGGTCATAGCCACCAAATCTGAGGAGGGTGAAGACTGAGACACTGTCACTACAGAAATAATGTAGCTTTCTTCCCATCAGAAAGAACCAATTTGGAGGTTTTCCCCCAGAGCTGCATATCCCACTGGGTGAACATTTTTCTTATTTCTACTGGACAACAATAAAAGGGCACGGAGAAACTGAATGGTGAGTGGGATCGTCCCCTGAGAATTCTTACAGCAGGCGGGTGAAGGCCAGTTCCGTCAGGGAGAGACACAATGCAGGGTCACAGCCCTGTTGTGAAGATGTGTTGTTTCGCCAGCCCAGCATCCCGCCCACCCTTTCTGGTCGTGGCACGGGCTATAAAACACACAGGCAGGCGCAGAAGCTCCCATTCCTTTCTGGGGCTGTCCTTTCCCACTTCACACAGTTCTGGAGAGCTGTCAGTCCACAGTCTGCTTACTCCTGGCTCACCCGGGCCTGGCCAATCCTCATGATCCCTTCTCCCACTCTCCTCCCAGCCAGTCATTCAAGCTCAGAAGCTGATCCAGCCGGACCAAGAAAAGCAGTGCTTCTCGGGGTCTCAACTGCTAGTGGGCAGCTCCCCCTAGTGGAGACAGCCATCACGCAAAGAGTGAGATGGAAGGAGGAGCAGAAAGAGGATTAGGAAGCCGGGAAGGGAAGGAGGAGACAGAATGGGAGGATGAGGAGAGAGAAGGCACACTGAGTAGCAGAGAAAATGAGAGCCCCGCACCTGCACCCCTGTTTCCCAGCTGAGTCAAGAATTCGGGTCTCTCTTTAAAATTTACTTCCAGAAACTTCCAGCTGAACCAGTCTTGATTAACAGCCTTTCTAGATGGAACTTTGCAGCTCAGCAGTCCTTAATCCCTGCCATTTCCTGCAGTCAAGCATTAAGGCAGAGATCTTTCAACCTGCAGAGTGCGTGGAATTGAGGAAGGAAAGTCCCAATCCCTCTTCCGGGAGGGGGTGTGGGGGAGGGAGGAAGGAATGGAACTTAGGGGTGAATGCCTGAGAGTTTTATCACCAGCCTAGGGCGTCCCCGCTTCCTTCACCTTCATCCAGTGCTGCCCTGTGTCCCTGACTTACTGCTGTCTGCATTCCAGGCAGAAGGCAGGGTTTTCACCCTGACCCTCCCAGCTGTGCTGCCTTGGGGGGCTGGGTGAGGGACCACACCCACCTTTCCCCAGCCTGGTGCCTGAGCAGGGTGATGTTGGCCTGGACTGGGGGCTACTCATCCTGGACCACCCAGAAGGCAAACTCGCTCCCCTCCAGCATGGCCTCTGCCTGGCATATGTGCTCCAGAGAGCAGGTCTCACCTGGGTTTCTCGTGACCTGGGGACACTCCACGGTCTGGACCTTGTGCCTGTTCTCCATCCAGGTGAGGTGCAGGGAGGGGGGACAGGAGTGGCTCATGTGGCCCGTGAGATTCACTCTCTGATGCACCTGGACATGTGTCCCAGCGGGCCTGGTGATCTTCAGGGTGGGAAGAACTAGACAGAGCGACAGAAAGGACCGTCTGCTGAAATTACCCCTGCCCACCTGCCCCCTAAATTCCCCTCTCCCAGCAACCAGCACACGATCGCTCACTCTCTCATCAGTTACCTTTTTTCGAAAAAAGAAATAACTTTTTCTTGTATCCTCAAAACAAGGCAAATAGAGCTAAATGTTGACATTCATTAATATGGGTACAGGTGCATGGGTGTCTGGTGTTTTATTTTCTGTATGTTTGAAATATTTCATATCATGAAATATAATTTTAAGAATTACTAAAATACGATGCCCATGAGGACAGGAACTCAATTCTAGTCAATGCTGTATCCCCAGCACCTAGAACAGTGCCTGGCACATAGCAGAGATTCATTGTATGTTGAATAACTGATAAATATTTAAAATTAAAAACTAATAACAATGATATTATAGCATAAAGATGCTTGGAATGAAAGGCTGGGGCCATATAATAATAAGAATAAGATCAAACATTCATAAACAACTCACTGTGTGCCGGGCAGCAGTCTAGGTGCTTTATAAGGAATAACTCATTTCATCCTCACATGAAACCCACGAGGTAGGTCTTAATTTTATTCCCATTCTAAGAGGAAATTGAGGCACAAAGAGACTAAGTAATTTCCCTGAGATCACGCAAGTTTTCCAGTGGTACGGCCAGGATTCAACCTGGGTGGTCGGCCTCTGGAACCCGTGCCTTCCACGGCTGTACCATGGGATCAGCCATGGCAATGAGGAATTCCGGTTTCCCATTTGTGAGAGAGGCTTCGGGGGAAAGTCGCTGAAAGCCAATGCTGCTGGGGAGACGATGCCCCCCACCCCACCCTACTGCCCACTCACCTTGGAGCACTTGGGAGGGGCTCTGCCAGTCCCCTGTGGGTGACTTCGCAGGTGAGACATCGTGTCGGGCTAGTGTCCCCCACACCCTACTGGGGAAGTGACGGAGTAATTGATTTTGTTGTCAGTCACCAGGTGCTGAGTTGAGTCTGGATGCTCATCTCTGTCCTTCATCCAGGTGACATTGAAATCCCAGGAGCTGAAGGGGCCAGTGGTGCAGCTGAAAGGCACCAAATTTCCAGGGGTTGTCCTCTGAGCCGTGATCATCAGAGAGAGGAAGGGCTGCCCAGCTACGAAAGAGGGCACTTGTGACTGCACAGAGTGGGAGGCATCCAACACCGACAGCCTGTAAGAGGCACCCGTGGCGGGTCAGGCCCTGTGCACTTACTGTGCACCATGCATGGCTCCAGCCTTGGGGAGCATATTAAGAGATGATAATGAGAAAATGAGCAAATATATCATTACAACTGGATCTCAAAGACTTCAGGGAAACCTAGAGTGCAGAGATAGAAAATGCCAGGAGGACTTATTCTAGAAAGGCAGGGAAAGGATTCCTGGAGGAAGTGACATTTTGAGCTGAAGCCGAGGAATGGACAGGAGCCAGCCATGGGAAGAGGCAGGGGAAGAACATTCTAGAAAGTGGGAGCAGCAGGTGAGAATACCTTGAGCAGGAAGAGGCGGTGGACTTGTGAACCTGCGAGGTCTGTAGGACGCCAGCATCGTGGGCAGAGGTCCAGATTGGGAAGAGCCTTGTGGGGCAGGGTGACACTCTTGACTCTGCTCTGAGTGTGCTGGGAAGCCACTGGAGGTTTTAAACAGAGAGGCAAGGTGGTCTCATTGACATGGTTTAGAAGATAACTGGGGTTGCCATGTAAAGAGTGGAAATGAGGGTGGCACAGACCTCCAGGTGTGAGGCGATGGTGCCTGGACTCAGGTGGTGAGAAATGGAGGGACCCGAGATACATTTGGAAGATACAGCCAACAGGCCTTGGTGATGGACAGGGTGTGGGATGGGGACAGAATGAATAAGGGATAAACAATTCTTAGGTTTTCCCCTTGAGCATCTGGGTGAACAGTGGTTCCAGTATTTGAGATGGGGAAAACTGGACCCAGTTGGGGTGGGAGAGGTGTGGCGAGGAATCAAGATTTCCATTTTGGACATAAGTCAAGAATGACCGCAGGCCCAGATGGTTGGTCCTCCAAATCAGGTCCTTCCCATCAACGTCTCATTGGGCATCCATCCTCTGCTTGCTCACCTCCAGCAACAGGGAGCTCTCTCCAGCTGAGGCAGCTTCCTCCATCCTCACAAAGGTGGGACCGTGACAAGGTACTTCTGCTGCTCACCTAGGGTCTGTCTCCTGGAGTCGTCGCAGGACGACTGCAGGACTAGACTCTTCCCTCCCCGTCAGGGCAGCCTGCAGAGGTCTGACAGCAGGCATGTCTCCAAGTCTTCACTGTGTCTCCTGGGCACCTGCTCTGAGCCAGTATGGGAGCTGGGTGCTGGAGAGATAGAGATGTGTCACACGGGACCCCTGCCCTCGAGGAGCATCTGGTCACACGTGTGTGTATGAGTGTGTGTGGGGGAAATAAACCAGCATTGACAACAGGGTGACGGGTGATGGAGGGCAGCTCTGGAGGCCATGGGGGCATGTCCTCTTAGCACACAGTCCTGGTACCTTCTGCCTCATGCTCTCCTGTCCTCTGATAATCATCACCCCACCTGCACGGAGCACCCTGTGGTTTATAAAATGCTTTCAGGTGTGTATGCACATTTTCATCTGCATCCCAGCCATGGAAGGCTGGTATTATTGTCCCCACTTGCCAGAAGAAGAAACAGAGACTCAGAGAGGTTTAGTGACTTGCACAAGGTCACACAGTGACCTGTCAGTGGATAAGAAGGGATGTTAAGCGGGTCTACCTGACTTCAGGTCACCACTCAAGGAGTTCCTCTCTCCCTCCATCTTTCCCACCCTCACACCATTTCTGACCTAGATCTGGTGGCCACCCAGACCAGAGCTGATGTCAGGGAGGCTGGGTGGGAGGAGGGCTCCTCTTTCAACCCCTGGCCCCTTGCCATCGTGTCACATTGTTCTCATCCTGACCCCAAGCTCCCATCATCTCCATCTCTCACAAGGTCCACACTGGAGAAAAGATGCAGAACAGCCCCCTGGCAGGCAGGTACACAGCTCGGCCAGGTCCTCTGGGCTCTGGGCCTCGGTCTCCTGCCTGCACACAAGGTGGCTGGATCGGTAATCCCTGAGGGTCTCCTGCCTGCTCTGAGGGTCTCTGTGGTCAAGACTCAGACTCACCTGCAAGTCCCAGGAGAAGGGCGGGCAGGAGGGCACCCAGGGCCTGCCCAGGTGTGGCAGTCACAGCAGAAGTCTCACAGAGTCTGTGGTGCATGCTAGGTACCAACCCCAGGATGAGGCTCTACATGAGCCCGGAAGCCACTGCCTGGTCTCCTGACAGCCTGGGGCAGGCCACATGCTTTCTGGCCACCCACCCACCCCCAGGCCTGGAGCAGTGGTTTGAGCCACAGTGAGAGAAGTGGTTGCTATGGCCTAGGCCTCCTTCCAAACCCCAAACCTGCAGGCCTGAGCTCTCCAGCCGGGGAGGCGTCTGCTGCCTTTGGCTTGGGTGCTGACTATCTGATGCCCCTCGAGCCAGAGTGGGAGGGGCTGGGTTCCACTGCGAGCTGCGAGCCACAGAGCTCCCTCTGAGGTGTTGGGCCTCCTCCAGGCTGAACAGACACGGGATGGCTTCTGGAACAACAGAGTGGATGGGATGTGGTCCAGCAAACGTTGGTGAAGTGGACCTGGATGTATACGACCAAATAAAAGAAAATGCACAGTCTGAGAAACCCAGCCCCTGCCTCACCACTTTACTAGGCTCACACAACATCGTCCTGGGCTCCTCCTGTGGCCCAGAATTGTCTATTAGGCTCCCAGTTAGGGGAAGATAAATGTTAAACACAGCAGCCATTGCCCTGGCCTCTCCCCTTGGTCCCTCTCTATCCCCTTACTCTGCTCTATTTGGCTTCCCGATGGCCAGCCCTGCCATATACACTTAGTTGTTTTTCTCTGTTTCCCCGTGAAAAACGATTGGCTGTGAGGATTGCTGTCTTTCACTCATGGCTGTAATCAGCACCCAGCACCGTGCTGGGCACAGAGTAGGTACTAAGTAATAATGAATGAACCTTTGGGGCCAGGTATGTTCTCAAGGCTGATAAAAAGCAGCAAAATCCCACCTGTGCCCCCAGCCATCCCATCTCCCCTGTGCTCTGTACACTCAGATAACTGTGGGGGGACTGGTCAGCCTGGGGGAGACTGCTGTGGAATCTCTCCCTTCGCAACCCCATCAGCACTTCAGCCAAGCAAGGCCTCCCGAGAAGATAACTCCTAGAGACGGGAATGCCTGCAGGGAGAGGAGGCCGGCTCCTCCTCCCACAGGTGTCTTCTGAGGCAGACAGTGGAATTGCTGCGCTGAGCAGGAGAAAAAGGAACTGAAAAGAGACAGCAGGGGAGCAGCCTGAACTTCCCCTATGCAGAGTGGCAGCGGGCAAGGTCCTCGGAGAGCCCCCCAGGGCAGAAGGTAGCGGAGCTCAGAGCATCCTGTCTACAGCCCATTCAAGATGGTCCCAGAAGCAAGAGATGGCAACATAGGCTCGAGGGGCAGGAGCTGTGGAGCTGGATCAGACCAGGCACCCCCTACAACACACACAGCACGTACACACACACACCTGCACGCACACAGGGCCCGCCAAAGGATGCACGCCTGGGACCCGATTCAGGGAAGGGAGGGGGAACAGAAGAAGGCTTCTCCTCCACCCCTTCCAGATCCCTCGGCAGAGACCTGGGGGCAGCCTGGCTGTGCGGAGGGAAGGAGGGTGCGATGCTGATGTTTGGAACCAGCCTCGTTTAGACTGCTCTTTAAACAGGGCCTGACCCAGAACAGCTTCTTCATAAAAGTTTCATATGATTCATCCATGGTTCCCTTCTGCATGTTTCCAGAATCGTGGGCTCTGCCTAAGAGGCCAGAGAGAGGCAGGAAGGAGAAATTTGACAGAGCTGAGGTGAAAGCAGTGCTCAGAGATCAAGAAAGCCAGTTCAGGCTGGGCCCCTGCAAAGCGTGGACTTCAAGGAAGCGGTCACAGCAGCCACCGGACCTCGGTCGAGGCTGAGCCTCAGTCTCCTCATCTGTCACAACAGGCTGGTGACGTCTCTCTGTGACTGAGTCTGATGCAGGTGAAGTCTAAAGTCCTAAGCATAAAACAGGAGCTAAATAAATGTGAGTTTCTATCCTAAGAAATGGATCCAGCCCTGCATGCTCTTCTCGCTTCCTCCACCTGCCAACTCCTCCCACATGCCTTTCTGCTCTTAGCTCAGCTCCATCCAAAGAAACAGTGCGAGTCACGAAGGGAGTTGTAGATTTTCTAGTATCCACGCTGAAAAAGTAAGAAGAAACAGGTGAAATTAATTTTAACTAATACATTTTATTTAACCCAATATCTGAAATCCTATCATTTCAACATGCAAGCAATATAAAAAACACTGTGATATTTTACATTACTTTTTCGTTTAGTCTTGGAAATTTTCAACAAAGTGAAACGTAGTCCTACCAAAATGATAAAGTTGTGTTTAACTGAATATATACCTATATTACTCTGCTTCCACTTTTTTAACTTAAATTTCAATTAATTGAGATTAAATACAATTAAAAATTTCCTTCCTGCGTGGCACCAGTCACATTTGAAGTGCTCAAGAGCCACACGTAGCCAGTGGCTGTGATATTGGACAGCACGGTCTTGGGGGAAACTTCCTTCCTCAGGAAAGGCTTCTCTACTCTGACGCCCCCATAGGTTTTGGGACTCCTTGTGTATAGCATTTATCACAGCTGTATTTAATTTTTAATTTGCAATTACAGTCACGTGTCACTTGATGGCGACAGGTTCTGAGAAATGTGTAGTTAGGGGATTTCATCATCAAAACATGGACTTACACATACCTAGATGGTATAGCCTACTACACGCCTAGGCTCTATGGTCCCGCCTATTGCTCATGGCTACAAACTTATACAGCATGTTACTGTTCTGAATACTGCAGGCAACAGTAACACAATGGTAAGTGTTTGTGTATCTAAACATATCTAAACGTAGAAAAGATACAATAAAAGTATAGTATAAAAGATAAAAAATGGTACACAGGTGTATGGCGCTTACCATGAATGGAGCCTGCAGGACGGAAGTTGCTCTGGGTGGGTCAGTGAGTGAGTGGGGAGTGAATGTGAGGGCCTAGGACATTACTGGACACCACTGGAGACTTTATAAACACTTAGGCTACACTAAGTTTATAAAAAATATTTTTCTTTCTTCAATAATTAACCTTAGCTTACTGTATCTTTTTTACTTTATAAAATTTTTAATTTTTTTTAACTTTTTGACTCATTTGTATCAACACAGCTTAAAACAAACACATTGTACAGCCATATAAAAATATTTTCTTTCTTTATATCCTTATTCTACAAGTTTTTTCCTATCTTTAAAATTTTTTGTTTTTTTACTTTTTAAAATTTTTTATTAAAACGAAGACACACACACATTAGCCTAGGCCTACATAAGGTCAGGATCGTCAATATCATTGTCTCCAACTCCACATCTTGTCCCACTGGAAGGTCTTCAGGGGCAATAACAGGCACGAAATTGTCATCTCCTATGATAAAAGGGCCACCTTCTGGAACACTCCCTGAAGGACCTGCCTGAGGCTTTCCTTGAGGAGGTGTCACTCTTTTCAGAAATATGTCCGTGGTGGTTTGCTTGGTTTCTTTCTTTTTTCATCATAGATTTGCTTTAAAGCTGATAATACAACATGAACATTCCTCTCTATTAATGAAAACCTTTCGGTGTTGGGGTCCATGTTTTCAAATTTTTTAAGGAGCTTGTTGAGGTCTGAAAAAGCTTCTGCTAAACCTTCACTGTGAGTTTTCTTGGGAGTGCTTCTTTTTCTTCTCCTGCAGTTTCCTTTTCTCTTGCCTCTCCCACATCTCTGAGTTCCTGTTCCAGGACCAACTCTGCATTAGTCACTTCCTCAGAAACCACCTCTAGGAGCTCCTCAGCGTCATCCTCAGCCACACCCTGGTTAAGTTGTTTGCCATCTCAGCCACAGCCTTGTTGATTTTCGCAACCTCCTCATCCTTGGAAAATCCCTTGAAATCATGGACAAACCTTTTGAGTGTCTTCTTTTAGGTGCCATTCATACCTCCTCGGTGACATCACCCCAAGCCCAAGCAAGGTTCTTGATGCAGTCACAGATGTTGTAATCCTTCCAGAACTGCGTCAGTGTCTTCTCAGTGTCTTCCTCCGTCGCAGCAATAGCCTGGGCAAAGGTCCTCCACAGGCAGTGGGCCTTAAAAGCTGCTATAAGTCCTTGATCCATTGGTTGGATCAAAGAGATCATGTTTGGAGGGAGAAACACCGTTTTGATATTGGGATGAAGATCACCAATAAAAGGAGGAGGTCCAGGGGCATTGGCAACAGTAAGCAAAATCTTGAAAGGTACGTTATTCTCCAAACAGTACTTCTCCATTTCATGGACAGCAATTCAGGAGGGCATCTTGGAAGAGGAGCTGGGTCATCCATGACTTCTCATTGCTCCTGTAGTACACTGGCACTGTGTGTTTACTGATATGCTTGAAGGCCCTGGGGTTCTCGCTGTGCCAGATCGCAAGGGGTTTCAATTTGTAACCTGCAACTCTGCCCCAAGCAAGACTGTTATCCTCTCCTTAAAAGCTTTGAAACCTGGCACTGACTTGGCCTCCTTATGGATGAAAGTCCTTTTAGGCATCCCTTCCCAGAATAGGGAAGTTTCATCCATATTGAATATTTGCTCTGGCAAGAGATTTTCCTCAACAGTCAGGCTTGTCTAGAATTTTCCAAAATTCTTCAGCTGCCTTCACACCAGCTCTCGCAGACTCTCCCTCACTTTCACATTATGTGATGAGTAATCATTCTCGAATTGTTTAAACCACTGAGAGTTGGCAGTAAATTCAACACTGTAGTCGGGTCCAGCGTTTTCGTTCAACATCACAAACAAGCTTTTGCTTTGGCTGTGATTGTCATTGTGCTGAGAGGGACACGCTTCTGTGTCCGGTCTTCAATCCAGGTCACTAGAAGTTTCTCCATGTCTGATATAGGCCCTTCTCAAATTTTGGGTAGTCTCATTGCCTTCACAGAAGCAGATCCTGTAACAGCTTCCATCACTTTCTTCCTGTTCTTCAACATCGTAGCTATAGTGGAGGGGACGTGCCTGACTGGAGAGCAATAGCCATCACTGATTTTCCACTTTTGTTGTCCTTAATCACTTTTAATTTTGTTTCCAGGTCAATCACTCAACATGGCCTCTTCCTGGCAACAATAGCAGTAGATTTTAGGGGCCATATGAACAAAATAACCTGAGATTAAATCAAGCACAAGAGGAAACAATGCCATCAAGAGATTCAGTAAACAAGAGATGTATGAGGCTCCTGGCAGCATAAGATGGCACATTGTTTAACTTTTTTTTTTTATTTTTTGGTGAGGAAGATTGGCCCTGAGGTAACATATGTTGCCACTCTTCCTCTTTTTGCTTGTGGAAGATTGTCACTGAGCTAACACCTGTGTCCACCTTCCTCTATTTTGTATGTGCAATGCTGCCATAACATGGCTTGATGAGTGGTGTGTAGGTCCATGCCCGGGATCTGAACCTGTGAATCCTGGGCCACCAAAGCAGAGCGCATGAACTTAACCACTATGCCACCAGGCCAGCCCCTGTTTCACTTTTTACGATAAAAAGTATAGTATAGTAAATACATAAACCAGTAACCTAGTCGTTTATTATCATTATCAAGTATTATGTACTGTACATAAATGTATGTGCTATACTTGTGTGTGACTGGCAGAGTGGTGTTTGTTTACACCAGCATCACCACAAACATGTGAGTTATGTGCTGCACTACGATGCGACTATGGCTATGACATCAGCAGGCGATAGGAATTTTTCAGCTGCATTATAATCTTATGGGACCACCATCGTATATGTGGTCCATGGTTAATGGAAACCCCGTTAGGCAGTGCATGACTGTGGTTGCAATGTGACTCTTTCCCTCATTAGACTGTAAGGTCTGTGAGTGCAGGGACCATGTTCTCCATCTCTACTGTGAGTTAGTGCCAGGCGCATAGTAGGTGTTCAATGAATGTTTGTTGACTGGATGGATGGATACTTGGATAAATAAACAAGAGAGGGTGTGTGCTATGGAGGTAAGGAAAGGAAGGAAGCAACACCAATGAAAAGGCACAAAAGGCTTCCTGGAGGCAGTGACTTTGCCTTCAAGGGCCCTTGCATCAGCCCTTTGGCTTCAGTCACCCCATCTGCAGCGAAGGAGGACACTGGCCACACCAGGGCAGGGCTACAGGGGCTGGGTAGCCATGGGCGGCCTGTCCCCTGAGGCTGGAAGGCTCAGGGAGAAGTGGGGAGACTGGAGTCCTCTGAGGGGTGGTCTGACTTCCAAGGTGCCCGCCGGGGTCCCCCAGGCTGGGCCCCGTGCCCACCAGGCGAGGCTTGGTTTCCTCTGGCAGAGGCAAGCCGGTCTTCTTCCCCATCCCAGCGCCAGCAGGAAGCGGATCTCACCCAGTCCGCAAGCTCAGCCTCTTGTGGGGTCTGGGGCCCCAAGAGCCCTCATCATGAGTGTGGGCTTCAGCCCGGGCCTCATGGGCTGCAGGCACAGAGAGGGACAGAGAGGCCCCAACTCCTCAGAAAACGGACATCGACAGTGCCTAAAATCCAGGCCCTTGCTGCAGGGGCCCATTATCTTTCACCCTGACCCCTCGTCTCAGACGGGCTCACACTCAGCTCAGACAGGCGCCTCCTGTCACTCTGCTGCTCCCCAAAGATCCATCTCTCCCCAAGATGGTGACCCGACTCCTTGAGGGGAGGGACCCTTCATGTCCTTTTGCTCCATGTCTGAGTCCTCAGGACTCAGCACTGCCCTTGACTCGGAGTAGCCTCTGAACGCATGTTTGCTAAGCGAATTCATTTCTTTATCGGTTTATTCACGCCTACAACAGCTCTTGGAAGAGCGTCAATTATGCGCCAGGCACTCTTCGAGCTGCTGAGCAACTGAGCAGTGAGCAAGACAGGCCTCCACCCTCAAGGCAGCCACGTTCTAGGGGGGAGGCTGAAAATAAAGGAACAAATGTGCAATGGAACTTCAGGGGGGTTAACTGGTATCGAGGAAAATAAAGAAGGCAGGAGAGAGGGAGAGCTGGGGTGTGTTTGGGACAGCGCGCACAGGAAGACCTCAAGGGGAGGGGCTCGTGAGCGGAGCTCTGAAGGAAGGGAGGAGGGAGCCACGGGCAGAACTGGGGGAAAAGCCTTCCAGAGAAGGAAGGCGGCATGCAGGGCAGGCATGAGCTGGGGCGTCTGAGCACCTGCAAGGTCACCGTGTGGGAGCAGAGGGGAGGGGGCAGACGATCATGCGAGAAGCCGCAGGGCCTGATCTCGCCGCCCGCCCGTAGTAACGAGGTTGAATTGTAATCTGTGTGCAATGCATCAGTGGGCTGAGAGCAGAGGCGTGGCAGGGTCCGATTTGTAAATTAATAAGTCACACTCTGGCGGCTGGTGGGGAATGGAAGGGAGGAGGGTCAGGGAGGAAGCGGGGGGAGGAGAGGAAGCAGGAGGCCCCTGTAGCTGTGGACAGCTGGACACAGGAGCAGGGAGCTTGAGGAGAGAGATGGATAGTGGGTAGGGGGTACAGACATTTGCAAACTGTCAGCATGTGAACGGTTTCTAAAGACACGCATAGGATGAGAACAACTCCAGAAAGAATGGAGAGGAAAGAGAGGGAGGGTCCCAAGGCTGCCATCTGGCTCTGCCACCAATTTGCAGGGTGACCTTGGGCCATTTCTCTGGGTCTCTATAGTCAGATTCTATAACTGGACATGAGGGGCTGGGGCCTGGGGATCTCTAAGGACCTTCTTCCCTGAATATTCATGGGCCTCGGTTTCATTTCCTGCCCTCTGGGGTCCCAGGCCTCACTTAGACATGGCTCCTGAGCCTGCCTCTGGGCCAAATGCCAGGGTCACGGGGTGGGTGTCTGACCCTGCAGCCGCAAGGGCCCGCACTCA